ATTGAACATTTTGAGTTTATTACTCCCTAATTATAAGTTGAGGAATATCAACATTTATGAGTTAACATTGAGGTAATTTAAGGCAACTGCAACTATAATTTTTATTTTAGTTAAACTTAAAACTTTTAAAAACATCACTAAAAAATTGTCGTGTAATCTGTTACACAACAATTTTTGAGTTCTGTGAACTTATTAGGTTTTACAGTGTACAGCAGCGTACTGGTTGCGCGGCAGACCACCGCCGCTGGTCGCCCGCTAAGGACAACAAGAAGAGAAGAGTGTATACTTACCTATTAGTATATAGGTTTTTTTTTAAAGTTGTATTTCAGAGGAGAGAACCTGTGTTAAAAGATTGAAGAAAATTATCCAAATTCTCTTTGAATTTAAGCATTTAACATTCTTCGTGTTTATCCTGCATTCCTTCATTATATTGCATAAATGTCTAAAAGCTTAAATATATAGTTGAAAATTATAGTATTATTGAATAATAATGATTTTGATAACAAGTAAATGCTTAAATAGCATTCTTATTAAAAATGCAAATATAAATGATTTGAGGACATGAGGCTGCAGAGAGATGCTGAGGAGATCAGGGAGAGAACAATTGTTCTATAAACATGTAAAGATTGTTCCAAAATAAGTTATTATGAGTTTTATAAATTGATTTATACTAGTTTTCTTTATATCTCTGAATGTAAAATTACATTATATTGCCAAGGTTATTCCCTCATCCATTCTAATCACTTAATTCAGGTGTTCCAATCACTTCCATGTCCACAGGTGTATAAAATCAAACACCTGGGCATCTCAACTGTTTCTACCAGCTTTTGTGAAAAAATTGGTTTCTCTCAAGAATTCACTGCCTGGTGCTATGATAGGAAGTCGTCTATGCAAAAACATTATTTGGTACTAAATATTCCAAGGTTAACTTAGGTTAAATTAGGTATAAGTATTAGGTATAAATTACAACATGGAAGTAACTGGAATAACAACAAAATCACAGAGGAGAGTGAAAGGATGCAGGTAGGTTACCAATAGTCCAAGATTCATGTAAGAAAGGGCATTGGTTATTTCAGGCATTTTTAAAAATATATTTAATAGTTTTTGTGATATTCATCAAGTTTTGATGGCTTCAAAGTGGGTTGACAGACCAATTTTCCAGAAAATATAACCTCAAAGGTATTTGACATATGAAGGTGAGATTTCTCATCAAACTTCCTACTGTAAAATTTTAATAAAAACCAGATGGCCTAAGAGTTGACACACACAAAAACGTGATGGTGTTTGTATTGTCTTTGCAAGTTTGTTTGTTCTGTAGCTTTTAAACTGTGTCATAACGTTGTACTCAGTTCATTCGTTGTTCAGTTCCACAAGCCAGATGTGACAAGAAGATACACTCTTGTACTGCAAGGCCTGTTCTACTCTTTTTTTCAAAGTGTGTGTGTGTGTGTGTGTGTGTGTGTGTGTGTGTGTGTGTGTGTGTGTGTGTGTGTGTGTGTGTGTGTATGTTTGTTTCAAATGCCACCAGCATTTTTCTAATCGACAGGGACACAACTTGGCACCCAGTGGAACCTTCTCTCACTGTGACAGTTTTGGCTCACTGATTCACTGGAGTTTTGTGTGTGACTTGCCTGCATATATATGTATTATTGGGTCCATAACGACTTCCCTCTCCCCTCTTTGCAGCCATTCTATTGTCTCTTTTGGTTTTGCAACTCAGCATGAGTGCTTCAGGAGCCCACTATGCTCATTACACAAACATGCACACACATACAGACACACACACATGCACATATAATTGCACACAGAAGAAGGAAGACAACCCCAGGGACTGTCTTTGTCAAGTCTCTTTCCCTTGTTCGCTGCCGTTTTTGTTTTTTCTCTTTTAGCTTTTTCCTTCTTCACACCTCCCCTTTCCCTTCTTTTCTCTTACTGTCTGCCATCCCTTCTCTTTTCTTACTGTATTCTGTCTTTTTTGTTAGCCTCTGACTTTCACAAAGCAGTCCAGGTCAGGGAAGGCCACTATGCACAGCTTTGGCCTTCCCTCTCTTCCACCTGCTCTCCTCTATTGCTTCTGATACTTCCCATGAAACCTGTAGACAATGATGGACCTAAGGAAAGATAGAGAAGAGCAAAAACACACTCCTGTATTGTGTAAAACAAAATCTAGCAATTGTATTCGCTTATTATTTTTATTATGATTATTATTATCATTATTATAAAAAATGCAATTATGGAAGCTCATTTTGGTGGAGAGAAAAATCTGCAACTCAACTAAATAAACTATATAGAACTAGAAACTGTCAAATTTAGAATTTAGCTTCAAATGTTGCAGCAGCAGGATTAAGGACGACCATAACTTGATGCAACTGTTTTTGCTCGTCTGATGGTTTTTACAGGCATCCTTTTGACAGGTGTCCACATTACAAACATGCTATATGTAATGTTCTTTTCATTTATTGTTTTATGATAGTAAGGACCAAAATCTCTTTTACTGAAACAGGTTTTAATAAATCCAACTCAGAAACATCAGTAAACCAGCAATGTGTCAAACAAGTAAGGTTTCAGTTGGTTAATTCATGTTCAGGGAAGAGGAAAGTCTTTTTTCAAAAGCCAAATTTGTTTCTAAAGGTTGACCCACAGTGTGGATTTCTTTCGTGCTGCCTTTCTGTGGATTTCTGACAGATCACATACATTTTTCATACTGTATTTTGTCATCTAACATCACCGTGCTGAGCCAAAGCGAAACCTCAGGATATTTACATCTCCCACCAGCCCCTATACAGTGACAACCGGTGTTAATTAAACACAATGCAGTAGAATCCTACCATGACCAATTTAATACATCCTGTCTGTATGGGGAAGTAAGAGCAGTTTGTCAGATGGGAACTGTGTCTGAAGGCATGGTGTCCAGGGGGACTATAGTGGCAGATGGACCCACTAAGAATAGTAGAGTCAAACTGACGGCATGGGTTGATGGAGGACCAAGTCAGGCCTGGGCTGATGAGAAACCCAAGCAAAAACATACATACATAACATGTGTTCTCATTTGATGTGTTAGAAGAGAGCAGAATATATACAACAAACGTGGCCTTAACTTCCACACTATGGCTTTTATATATTTGTGTTCCTTTTATTTAAAGAATTTTTGGTTTTCTTTAGTTAATTAAAATGTCTAAAAATATGTAAAAGGTGTGGGAGATGTGTGTTGGACCAACATGCAACAACAACAAGAAGTTATAATCACTTTGTCTATACACATACAGGCATACTGTATATGTGTGTGTGTGTGTGTGTGTGTGTGTGTGTGTGTGTGTGTGTGTGTGTGTGTGTGTGTGTGTG